AGTATAAGGTTGACTTGATTTAGTTTAATTTAGATTAGAATAAATAGAAGTTTTAGTATTTTCTTTTTTAATTTTTAATTTTGTACAATTTTATTTATTTTTAATAAAGATGATGTAAAGTTATTATACTTAAAATAAAAAATTTGTTAAACATAATATGAGTATTAGTTTACTAAATTCAGTATAGCAAGATTTCTGTTATATTATAAAATTTATTATATTAAAATTCGCTATAAAAAGGATTAATTATAATATGGGAGGCGGTCAGTAAAAAAGGGAGAAATCCAAATTTTGGTCAAAATTTTTTTAATTAGTTCACTTTACTGATCATAGTCATATGAACAAAATTAGCTTAGTAATTAAAATTACTAAAATTTTCAGATTTCCCCTTTTCTACTGACCACCTTCCATATGTATCTATTAAAATACATTAATTAATTATCATGATGATAATTATTAATATTATTAATTATAATAATTAATATAATAAGAGGATTAGTACTCCTTGCTCAGTGGTTAAACCGCAAGTCCCTATTAAGCTATAAGTTTTATTGCAAAGTGATAAGCCATGATTCAGGTATCATACGATATATAAAACTATATGATTTTTCATAAGGAATTTCTTTGTAACTGAACAAGTGAGCGTATGTACTAATATATATTAAATTCTGGTTGATCGATCCATCGATCAATATTAATCATGCCTAAATACTGCACGGCATTAGAATAAGTAGATGCAAATGAAGCCTGGAATTGACAGAAACTTGGCCTTCGCTGATTGGTCTGTAATGGATACAGTCTTACGTCTTACATGACATAGGCTCTTATTTCTGTATATGATCATAAGATTGTATATAAATTAAGGAAGTGATTAACCAGAAATTAATAGATTAGATTAATAATGATAATAAACTGCATTGCATGTCGTAACATCATTTAATCGAGCATATCATTGAGTCTGAGGTTAGGTTCAATTCCTAAAATGTTTGTTTATATAGCCTGATCATCACCCTGCTAGTTCAACGTGTGGGCAAACTTGTGGTAATAATTTTTTAAACTCTACGACATTAGTTGAAGTAAATGTATACTCTAGCAAAGTATATGGTGTAATAAATCCCTCAATCCTATAATGATATGTAGTTCCAGATAGCTGGTAACTAGCAAAGAAGGTCTCTCCCAATGGGCTTAAATCCAGTAACAGCTAAAAGCGATGGTAATATCTAAGCCAGTTTTAACATGTATGGGCTAAAACCAGTAGAGACCTATGTAAGTGAGGCCGACATATATAGTTTCAATAGATTCTATAGTCACTACGTCTTATCCAACACTAAGGACTGAAATAAAAAAATTAACATAATGATTAATCAAAATAATTAACATAATGATTAATTAAAATAATTATCAATATTATTAATTATCATTAATTAACATAATAATTAATTAGATATATTACAGATAATTATTAAAAATTATTTGATTTAGTTTATTATCAATATATTTCATATAATAAATGTAATAATTATTAATAAAATAATAATTATTAGCATTTAACTCTTAAAAAAATTTCTGATGTTATATAAAAATACAATATAATAAATATTATAAATATAATAACATTTATCTTTACTTTTATAATTATTTTTACAAATCTACTGGAATCCTAATATAGTGAATTTATTATTAAAAAAATTCTAAATTTTCTTATCCTCTTTAACAATCTTTAGCAATTACTTGTTAAAGAATCTTTTGTAGTTATTTATAAATAACTAAAAAAGAAAATATATGATTAGATTAATATTATTTGATTGTGTTTATTTATTTATTTTAAAAACATATTTTTCATAAACATATGTATAATAGTATTTTATTAATTTTATTAACCATTTCAAGAAATATTTGAGGAATATGAATTTAAAACATATGAATATTTATGATTTTAAACAAATAAAAAAACAAAAAACTATGTAAAATTGAAAAATAAATTAATTGAAGGATTTGTTATAGGTATTGATAGATTGAAGAAAAGGATAATATTAAACAAAAGAATGCTTTTCTTATTTAATCTTTGATAAATTGTTCAAGTTCAAAGTTTTTTAGCCAATGGCATTTGCCTTTACCTAGTAATACACGCTTGAAGTAAAAAATTTCACCCCACTAATTTTTGGCCGGCATTATAGAACTTGGCCGAAATTAACTATGTGACAAACAAGGAACTTTCACATCGAGTTTCCAGAACAAATAAAAGTGGAGTATGGCGTGACAAATCCCTCGATTAGTAAAATTTTAAGATAATTTATTCAACATTCACAATACTTGTTTGTACATTAAAAAGTCAATGTTCAAAAGATTATATCGTGTTTTTAAGCAAGTGTTGTCTTCCCGCAGGTGATATATTAAATGGACCTGAAAGTAATGAAAATAGTAATGCTAATTTTTCATATTTTTATTTTATTTTTAGAGCTTTATAGAATTTAGTTTTAAATTAAATAGTGGAAGAATTTCTTCCATTTTAAAAAGGCAATTGGATTATTATAGCTTTAAGAACTATTGGTTTTGCTCTAATGCATTATAGTAATTTTTAGGTATAATTCTATCGCTCATCCCAATTACTGGAATTTCTGTAAAGACCAAGAACATGAAACTAATATTGTTAAGATAACTCGTAGAATCAGATATTTAAAAAGGTAATAAAGTATCATAATATTCATAATATATTTATATTGGAGTCTTCATCAATTGATTCTTCTTATGACTAACAGAATGTTTGGAATCTCGTAATAACAGAAACAAAATAATTCTTCTTTCATAGCAACTTCAAATAGATAATAAATAGATCATAAGAAGTTTTTTGAGATTAAATCAGATTCAATTATCATTACTATGCTGAAAATTGCACCGGAATTTGGAATGGTGTTAGATTGGCAATACTTCCTAAAAGTATTCTGCTTGTATGTTTTAACGTCATTTGGTCGGATAGTTGCTTGGTACTTTATATTAGGATAATTCGAGAATGTGTCGCGTTTTGATTTATCGAGGAAAGCATGGTTTGTGCGCATTTTTTATTATTATTACTTTACAAAATGTATTATAATATTGATCAATTTTAAATATATGGATCTAGTGTCGTGTATCGTTAATGATACTTTTATCATGATTCCTAACTTCTTCACCAAATGGTTTTGAATAAGGATGAACTTTCAAAGAAGTGTGATCAAGTTATGGATTTTTGTGTCTGAACTTCCAAACCTTTTCCCTTGTCGAACTCTTTCACCTCTGATAATTATTTGTTAAACCAAAATTAATGATTAATTAGGTCAGATGCATAAGCTTATGATATTTGAAATTCTGGCATTCATCATGCAATTATTTCTGGAAAAGATATCTAATAATGTTAATTATAAAGCCAAACTTTATTTAAGAGGGCCAATTTGCAGGAGGTTTGAAATACGCTTCAATAGGTGCATTATCTGAACGATATATTAAATTAATAAAGTTTCACGGAATTCATCAACAAATGGTTGTGATGAAAGAAAAATTAAGGTTTAGAAAATGCTTTCCAATTTATGGTACATTTATGCTTAGCATGGATGAAATCACGGAAATGGAATGTTGAAAATATCAACTAAACGAGTGTAATTAGTTAGTTTATTCAATTGATATTACAATTCTCCTAAAGAGTATATAATGTTTCAAAATCATTTTTATGCAGATCTCGCTTATCCACCGGATCGTTTAAATATATAACTAGTTGTTGTTGTTTTAGAGACAAGAGATGCTAATGGGGTTGATATTTACGGTGGTGGCAATGTGCTAAACTAAATCCAGTTTAAGATTGTGCGTTGTAATAATTGGACCAGATAGCATTGGAATTTTAAGTTTTATACTGTGGTAAATAAAAATATATTTATAATTTCCTTTACCTTCGTTATAATATTAATCATAGGGGTTAGAAGGCGTCATTTTTCACTAACTCATTATTATATCCATGAAGGTCCAAGAATTTGCTTATGATCATGAATTCTATCTGATTGATTTATTAATTAATTTTCGGTTTCTTATCGTCTTGGTTTTTATCCCAATATTTCTCGGTGCTGAATCCGATCCCTCTATCATTTCAATTTCATCAGCCGTTTTGGGTAGCTTCATTGGTACCATAAATGTATTTACCAGCAAAGTCCCGAAAATTTCTGGTACGTAATTCAAATTACACGTTCCAGCGTTTGACTTAAAATGAAGACACTATAAATCACCTATCACCACCTGGCAGTACTTTTTTTTTTCATTTGTCTTGAAATAATTCTAATTAATAATGATTGCGTCAATTGTTATTTATTAAATATAGTATTCCGATACATTTACTTTGAAATGCTTTCTGATATTTGAACAAGAGTTGACAGTAACCGTTTTCAACATCTTGTTCCCAATACCGGAATTAAAATGTGTATGGAACAACAGATCATAGTCTCTGAAAAAGTATACAGAATTTTTAATTGCTCGTGTGATAAATATTTTTTATATGGTGTTCATATAGGAGATAAATCTAGTTTAGAAAAATGGGTAAATGTTATAAAGAAGGATTGGTTTGTTCTACAAAACATTATATCGATTTAAGTGATTCTATTATTAATAAAGGGAGTAGTAGAATAGAATCGGATAAGAGTTTATGAATTAAATATTTTTTTTATATTGATAATAAACAACGATCCACTATAATGAATATAATAAAGATAGATAATGTTCCTTTTATGACTAAATAACTATTATTATTATTATTAAACGATTGTCCCTTCAATTGAAAGATTTTTTCACCGAAAGAAATCATTTCTATGTCCCAAGCATTTATATTATCCCAACCCTACAATTTCCATCGGTCGATTATTTATTCGGATTGTTATAAAAATATTTTCCCACTTTAAAATTGAAGGTAAGTCAACCTTTTCAACATCGCTTTCTAGAACCATCATTACTTCTGGTTCATTTTTCGAAACGTTTCATTTTTTTCACTCTGATTCAACTTCTTTTCTAAAACCATTATCTTCTGGTTCATTTTTGAAAAGATCCACCTTTTCAACCTTTTTTTTCTCCTCTTCAAATGCTTCATCTTTTTCAACTTCTTTCCTAGAACCATTAACTTCTGGTTCATTTTTCAACTTTTCAAGAACCATTATCTTCTGGTTCATTTTTTGAAAAGGTTTTTTTTTTTTATTTTCGATAGCTTCATCTTTTTCAACTTCTTTTCTAAAGTCGTTATCTCCTCTTGTCTTGAAAATTATAGAAATCATAGTTGAAAAGGTTAAATATATAGGTCTATGTAGGGTAACGATTTCTTTTAAATTTTACAACTCGAAATAAACAAAAAATTGATGCGTACACGGTGCGTTCAGATCACATGATTTTATAATTAATTTGATTTTCTGTATTACATTAAAAAAAATATATTCTACCAATAAAATTGCGATCTTCTGATCTTGTGACTGATCAACATATGGGTCATGGACTAGCAAAATGCCCCTCCGGTAAATTATTGCTTTTTTGAGAAATCAGAATTTAACATTTTAACATTTTCATTGTTTACAGTTTATTTTTAGAACA